TTGGGATAGACGAAAATGAAACAGTTTTGAAAGTTAATAGATGACTCTGAAAGAAAGCAAAGTATCTAGACTAAAATGAAAAAAAGATAATAATTAATAGATGATTTATTAAATTAAGCCTCCAGAAATGCCAATGAAAACTTTTAGTTGCACAAAGCATTCAAGTACAGTACAAGAACTGCTCAGCAATAAGGAAAACTGTGATGGTGATGGATGCCAATTTAACTTTATTGAAATCTGAATCTGTGGTTAATATATAGGAAAAAAAGTCAAGTAGATTACATTTTACCGAGTCGAAGAAGTCTTTTAATTTTTGCTTTGCTTCCTCCCAATCCTTCTGCCTGCCAGAAAAAAATATTATGTTCTCAATTTAACAGTAGAAAAAATATCATCAAAAAAGCATACATGCAATTTTATACTAGCATTTACATTATAAAATTCCGTGGTCATTTATATTCAAATGTTTCGATACAACCCTTCTTTGAAGAAAAGAATAAACGTACTCAATTTAATTAACATTAAAAAAAATCATAAAATGAAAGAATACATGCAATTTTGTACCATTTACGTTTTAGGTTTCAGTGGTGGATTAGCTTCAAAATATTCTTTTGGTGTTTTGGCTACCGAACTAGTACTTAATTTTCTTGAATTCATTATATTAATGTAGAGATGTGCTTTTAAAATCAATGAGGGAGAGATTATTATGTATTTTAAATTAATTAAAAAATATCCTGATTGTAAATAATAAAATAAAAAAATGCTACAGAAGCAGTATTATTTTAATTTTATTTGAGTGATAATAAAATTAAAAGTGTTTTGCAATTTACACCAAACTGTAAAATACTAATTATTAGATTAAAATGAGTTGAAGGAAAAATATTTATATCTGATTATTATTATTTTATAATTTAATATAGTCTAAACTATAAAACACCATGCTCTTTAAAAATTTTGAAAGAAAATGCGAAATTGGGGTTAAGTTGTTAAGCGGATAAAAATGGCAATTAAGTAACCAACGGCTCTATTACAATAGCAGTTAGATTTGGTCTTATGGCTGGGAATAGCCAGTTGTTAATGAACTGAAGAAAATTACAATTAGCATGTAAATTGGTTTGGTGTGCAGTTGTCTGTTCACTGTGGATGTGAAAGGACCCAATGAAATTTAACAAAGATATTGACCCAGAGGAGAAGGTGATAGAACTCGTTAAATGAACAACTCTCTGCAGGGGAAAACATACTTATGGCAGAATTTATCCTTAAAAGGTAGCAAAAGTCACTAAAGGAGGCTGTTTGGTCATTCAAAGAAAACTAAAGAGATATTTGGAAGGGTAGAAAATACCGAAACGCAAACCAGTCATTGAACCAGTTTGCTCATTGGTTCTTGGTTTGATCGATTTGAGCGATTCAATCAGTCGACCAACCAGGTCAAAAGAAAAATGCCGTAAATTGCAATCTTGTGTTTTTCAGCATCAATCTACTACTATTTTGTCATTTTTTTCCCTCGTAATTTGTATCAACTACAAGTTCAAAAACTCAATAAATAGATAATCTCAAAATTAATAAGTCACACACACACACACACACACATATATATATGAAAAATAAGTCCAAATACTCAAACTAATATGCAAATGATACATAAATTAAAATTGTTCATTGTTTATCCCCAAAATAAGGAGGATCTTCATTAAACCAAGCATCACGTTTACGAAAATCATTTTCACTATCATAACTATCATTATTTTCTTCACCAATTGACTCCAAGTTAATTCCCCTGCTTGGACTACCAATATGGAATGATGCTTCTTCACCACCTTGCACTTCTTCATCAAAATCATGTGTGTCACCTTAAAAGTTAAAAAACAAAAACATATAATAAATAAAAATCAACAAAATAAATCATAATTCAAATCTAACTCACATAATCAACAAGATAATTCATAGAATGACAAAATAACATAATTAATTTAAAATCAAATTAGTATGAAGAGAAGCTTTGATTAGTCATTAACCTTCTTTTTAAGTTATATGACATATTGGCATTGTTTTATCATTATAGATCATATTCTCCAATTCATTATAATCAAGAATTGGAGAATCATCTTTTTCAATGACCCATTTCTCAATATTGTCTATGCTTTCATAATCAATAAGATTAAAGCAAGTCTTCCTTTTGTTATCTTTCCTATTATTCAAAATAAAAATAAAATTTCCATAACTAAAATATAAGAATATATAAACAATAAGAAATGAAACTTTATTAATATAATATAATTATTATATGGATTAGATAAAGTACTTATGTTTCAAAAATGCAAATTATAATGCACATAGATAAGATCATTCGACCTTTGATGATTCGATCTATTCCACCTCTTAGTGTATATTCTTTCAAATACACTTCAATTTCTTTCACACCTCGAAGAAGACAATGTTTGACTCGAATTATATTGCTAATTTTTTAAGATTTGGAGCAATATATCTAAAATATTTCCACCACTCATATATGGAAAAAACAAAAAGAAAAAACATGTACAAGTGTTAAAAAGTTAAATATTATGAAGAATTAAATAAAAGTGCTATAATCTTAAAAAATAAAAATAAAAAGTTGAAATATTACCAGGTTTCATAGTTTTTGAGGATTCAAGAGCACTTTCATGACCAAAGCTTTCCATTTTTTTGTCATACAACTCACAACATCCATAAAATAAAAGTGCTATAATCTTAAAAAATTTAGACCTCTGAGATGGCACTTTTGCATCCACAACATCCATAAAATCTTTCATGACTACTTTTTTATTGAAAAATTCTCTTTATCATAGACAAAAAGTAGGATTTAAGTAATAGGTAGTAGCATAAAGATTTTGACAAAGTTGTCTATCTCACCTTTCCTTGATAATTCTTGTATACGGCTTATACAAAAGACTTCTTATTCATCGATATCGTCTTAATAGCCTTTCTAGCTCTATACACGCCATCATAGACATATCCAAGTGAAGGCCTCTCATTACCATCCTCAATTCTAAGAAAGTGAATAAGTGGTCCCATAATTTTCACAAGAAGTTCACAATTATTCCAAAATTTTTTATCTAGAACAACAGCCACAACATCATTTGCCTTATGATCTTTGTAGTATCTAGACTTTTTAAATTCTAGACTAGTCACCAATGCTTGTAAGTCATGCCTATGCTCATGAATGCTTTTCAATGCAATGAATGTTGTTGCAAAACATGTTGGCCCAGGAAGTATAATTTCTGTCCATCCTTCCCTTTTTCGAAGCCAAGCCAACAAGAAAGGATGATTGTATATAAATTTGGATAGCAAAGATGCACGACTTGCAAGATTACTAACAACCTCCAACTTCCCAATATCACTCAACATCAAGTTCAAATAATGTGCAGCACAAGGAAACCAAAAGATTGTATGATAAATGTCATTTAACAATCTCTCAACCTTTTTATAATTGGCTGCATTAGCAGTCACTAAGTGCACAACATTATTAGCACCCACAAGCTCAACCAATTCTCTAAACAAATTGCAAAGCATGGAAACATCTTTAACTACATTAGAGGCATCAACAGATTTCACAAAGGTAATTCCTTTAGGACAATAAACAAGAAAATTAATTAATTGCCTATTTTTTTTATCTTGTCAATCGTCACCCATAATAGTACAACCAGTTTTTGCCCAAATACTCCTATAAGAATAAACCAACAATTGGACCTCTTGTTTTAAATCATGTAATAAATTGCTTCTTATGACATGATGACTTGGTGCCTTATAATGAGGACCAATTGCAACAATAGCATCAAGCATAGGTTGAAAGTAAGGGGAGTTGATAGCATTAATTGGCAGACAACTATAAAAAAAGAACCTTGCAATGGCCAAATCAGCTTCATGGAAAGCATCTTTACCTGCCAAGGCACTTCTAATTGATGGCTGAGCTCTAGGAGTGGTTCTTGGGGCAAAATAATTTTGTATCCCACTTGCCTTCATTTTTCTATCCCTATTTGTTGAAATTTCTAACCACTTCCTTTTAACTTGAGATTGTGGAGCCGAAGAAGGATTTAGAATCTCTTGCAAGTCCAATGCATCTCCATCAGAATGTCCAAATGGATTATCTTCCCATACATGTTTTGCCTGCTTCCTACTTTCTTCAATTTCCCTCAAACTTTATTGCATCCGATAACGAACATCAACTAGCACCTTATCACACTTTTTGACATCTCCTTTTCCAGCAAGGTGTTGTTTCATTCTATTAATGCCTCCTCCTCTAAATGTCTTTCAGTAGTGCAGACATTTAATTGATTTTTTTGCGCCTTCTATAACATCAACACAATGCTCCCATGCTGCATCTATTTTAGTTCTTGAAGGTTGCGAAGATGCAACAGTTGAATTCTATCCAGATGATGACATATTTTTTCAATTCTACAACAAAATAAAATAAAATCATTAAAGCAACCCAATACAAAACAAATAAGGTTAGAAAAATTGCTAAATAAGTATTTAGATCCATTTCAACTATCAAGAATCTTGGTAATTCTCATAAACAACAAAACCAAAACTGGTGGTTAAAATAAACTTAATTCAGTTTCAATTTCAAACCTCCAAAGGGCAAGGTAGAACTAGAAACAGTCAATGGCAAATTCAAGGTCGATTAACATCAACTTTGAAGCTGTAAAATATGGTGGAATTTTATATATCTTTATTGCTTCTGAGAACCATATATATACAAGTAATAGGATTTAGAGGTTGCACAAAAAGAGGAGGAAATAACAAAGAAACAGAAAATGGCAAAACAAGAAAGGCAAAATAGAAAAGGCAATCGAAATATACTTTGTAAAATCAACAAAGAAATAGAACATGCAAAACAAAAAAGGCAATCAAAATATACTCTGTAAAGTGTAAAATGAACAAAGAAATAGAACATGCAAAACAGAAAATTGGAATAAGTTACAACAAGAAGAATTCAAATTGAATTTGACATCAACAAATATGTTCTATAAATAAACTCAAAATGCAAAGCAAATCCTAACAAGTTGTTGCTTTCCAAAATAAGTAGTAAAAAGATAGGAATCTATTAAAGCAACGAAATGAAGAGCATGATTCTTGTAGTTCCTGAAGAGAACTAGAGAAGAGGGATTGTCAGGTCGAAGTCAAAGAGGTTCGAGAAAAAGAACGACCTTGGCGACAAGATGAAAATCTGATGAAGAACAGAAGAAGTATGATTCTGAATCTGGATGGAAGAGCTAAAGAAGCGTTCTTTTGGGTTTCTTCTTTGCCAATTTGTTTGGACTTCGGAGAAGCAATGGATTAGAGACTGGAGACTAGAGAGGAAGAGTGACAAGTTGAATTGAAGAAGAGGAAGGAGAATTGGAGACTGGGGTGATAGAGTGACGAGTTGAATACTGGAGAGGAAGAGTGAAAAGTTGAATAGAAGAAGAAGGAGAATTCGAGACTCGAGAGTGGAGACTAAAAAGGAAGAGTGACGACTGATGACTAAGTTGAATCGAAGAAAAAGAAGGCTTAGGGTTCCTATTTCCTAATTTTACTAATTCGGCCTCCACTTTTGTTCTTTTTACCATGGAATTGCCGAATTGTAATGTGTAGAAGAGGGCAAAAAAGGTATCAAACCAAAAAAAATGTATAAAATAGGTAATTAATAAAAAAAATGATAAAAAAATGAAAATGGTAGATTTGAATTCGGCCTAGTGGGTTTACCGGGTCTTTCGAGTTGGACAGGTTGAGTGGATTTGTCGGGTTTGGATGGTTGGATCGTCCAGGTGGTTTTGGATATTCATTCGGTCCATTTTCATTACCGGGTGGCAGTTTGATCGATTCGATGGGTCGATCCGGTCCAATTTTCAAAACCATGGAAAATACGTATATACAGTGTGCTTGCAGAGTTAGTTTGGTTTGGGTGTGAATTATTAGTGCCATCGTAAGTGTATGATGTAGAATGATCTATTGGTTGTTGAAAAATATGTTTGAAATATTGTTCAATGTATAAAATTATTCATTCATAACCTTAAGAAAAATAGCAGCTGCAACTATTGCACTTGATAATTAGATTAGGCAACATGCAATTAAGGGTAAATGATTTGATAGGTGTGATTGTAACTTAAATTATATACCTCAAGTGCTTGGGGAAGAGAGCATGAATCAAAAAATTTTTCAAAATAATTTTGCTTGTGTAAGAAGATTGTGGTATGACTTTAGTTTGAAATTCCATAACTTTATCCCTAATTGAAAGTCAATGTGATTATTTGACATAATTTTTAATTTTATTGTCTTATTTATGTGACTTAAATGTATTATTTTTTTAATATTAAAATATAAACATTTATCTAGTATTTATATTTTAAAATATAAAGAATCAATTTTTAATCATTAACTTTAAAATAATTAAAAAAAATTAAAGTTCTATAAAAATATAAAATAAAAAATGGAGTGGGAGTGGTGCTTTACTAAGTAAAAATGTCTATATGAATCATTTAAATCTTATATTAGATTAAAAGATCTTTTATAAAAAATTTACTAAACAACTTTTCATTTTGAAACGATTTTTATAAAAAAAATTTACCAAATACTTTTACTTCTAAAAAACAAAACTTCTATAACAAATTCTTTTAAAAAGAACTTTCATCAAAGAGTTCCAATTACACCGAATAGGCTTTTACTTATCTAAATAAGAGGATAGAAGGGGAAGAGAATGGAGGGAAATAAAAGGATACAATTCCCCTCTTCTCCCTTTCCCTTCTCTGTTCCCTCAACCTAGACATAAAGTTAAGATTTTTAACTATAAAAATGTATTTATTTGCCTTTAAATTTTAATTAGCCCACCCTTACCTAGAACTCTCTGGGACAAACCCAAACTTTTGGGTGAGGAGGGAGGGAGTTGGGCCCGGGGGGGGAGGGGAGGAGGGGCGAAATTCTCCTTTCCTTTCTTTTCCTTCATTTGGATAAATAACTGAATTAAAAGAAAAAATAAAGTAAAGGAAATTTCCCCCCTCCCATCCATTCTCAATTTGAACATACTATTGATCATAGGTTTTGAGTTTGACCCATAATTTTTACATAAAAAAATTATATCAAATTTAAATTAATCACTAATTTTAGAGGTAAATGTACTACTTATAACACATATATCAAACTTTAAATTAATTAAATATATTTAATTATTTTTGAATAACATAAAATTCAATACCCTTAAAAAAAATACAAAATAATAGAAAAAATTTTAATAAGTTGGATCAAGAAAAAATTATAAAAAATTATTTAAAAACTATATTATTTAAATAAACTCTAATTAAAATAAATAGACTAAATTAGCATATTTTTAGGGTAAAAATAAGTAATATATTAATATTTTTTAATAATACTTTAATAGAATATCCTAATTTTGAAGTATTTTTCACCTTTTTTTTTTTTGCAAGTGTAATAAATAAATAATAATCTCACATAAAATATAATTTCCTTTTTAAAGTGATTACAGATATTAATGAACTTTCAATTAAAACATCAAATCTAATCGTTGAATTGATAAAATATATATTATACAAAAAATTAAAACTAATGTAAAATTTTTTTCACACCCAAATAAAATTATTTGTCTTAAAAATTGATTATAAAGAAAGAAATGATCCTTTTAAGTAACTCCTAAATATTTTCTTTAAATTTAAAAAGGTCCTTATGATTCAAACATAAAAAACAAATTTTGTACTAATTAAAAATTAATGTACTAGATTAAACATTTTTCAAAAGCCTCGGGAGCGGCTGCCCACCTTTTCCTATAGCAGCTCCATCCCTGCAAGAACTCTAAGAGATAATGCACATCCACTTACGGGATGTCCGAACAATCAAATGCATTATTATTATTATTATTAGAGTAACTCCATTTACAACCCTTGTAATGTATTGGAATCAACGACCAACAATGGAATGTCTCAAAGCATCAAAGCATTGACTGCTATGATTATTTTATTGGCAACATTTCCATAGCCATATTTGCATTCGAAATGGCTTTAACCACTAATTTAGAATCAGTCTTTGTTGTAATGTTGGTGTGTTTCCTTTATGCTTTCTTGAATTCTAGCTAGTTTTATAAGCTTCAATCACAACGATTGAAGAATATCGAATAATAATCGCACCTATCCTCGAAACACTAATCTCCATATCCCACAATGACTCCAATAGCAGCTTCCATGCTCAGGATCAAAGGACCCTCACATTGGATTTTAGACATATACAACTCTTCCTGTGTTCTGAATTCAAAAAAATAAGTATTCTTGAAATGCTCTTTCTTATGGACTTAAGTAGGTCCTAAAAGTGTTCTTCCCTAGATCAAATCAAAACTAGTAATTAACTTTATAAAACTAGTAATTAACTCTATAGATTAGCATATATTGTTCCAAATCTAGATAACAGTAGAACTCATACATTTATGAAGACTAGTGCATGAAAATCGCAATTTAACACGAGGAGCAATGTTTTACCACACAAAATACACAGGGTGGAAGAAGATGTTGTCATGTTCTGCTAATTTGGCCTGATATCGATACCTTCAATAATGACACCTCTCTTCCAACGACCATCA